TCCTTAACTTAGTCTTATTCGAAGTAGTTTTTATGCGTATTTTACATTTTTCAATTCCCTAGGGATGGGGGCAACTGCATCTCCCTATCCCCATGATGACGCCTATGACATCATACCGCATATCTAATTAGTGTCTTAGCAACCTAAGACTGAGTTAAATAAACAATACAGACTAATCGTCATTTAAATTAACTGATTCGAAAAAAAAATTACTTTATAAGAAACATCCTGTATTCATGTAATATAAGCAGAGATCCCATGGACCGCCTCAAGGCGTATCGTATTGCGTGATGCGATAACGTCACGGCTGAATCACTGACACTGCTTTGATGAGGGAACATACACGACTCGGTTATTGTCAATCATAAAACTCACAGCATGTTATAACATATCATTAGTGTGCCAGATGTTTTATTACTTTAAGGAAGACTAAAATTAAGAAAAATGCGTTGGAAAGGTTAAGATTACTACGGCATAGACGAATAAAGACCACTAACTTTTACTTAAAAATTTAACACCCTTTGTTACTTTCACTTTAAAATTTAAAACACCCTTTGTTACTTTCACATTTGTATTGTTTCCAAGGATTAATGAAATAACTGCTATCAACCACAAACGATAGATTACGAGGACATCAATAGAATACATTCATTGAGCACAACGATGTTGAAATTTCTTCGAAGTGTTTGTTCAAAGTGAATTTTATCACTCTTTTATGATCATCGTGAGCGCGATGACGTTCGCTATCGGATTTAACATTGGCATTAGCGATTTTACATCAACGTTTATTGTTTCGTCTCAATTATCGTCACTTAAGCGCGTTAAAATAAAGTTTGCTTCAATATTTATTGGAAAAATACACGAGAGTCTTTGAACTCTTAAAAAAACATGCGTGTTTCTCTGATACGTAAAATTTCCTTAAAAATTCTACAAAATTAAAGTTCTTTTAGCATGTTTATACAAACTGTGCGGAAATAAAAAATATAATTATTAGCCTACGTGCTCTTCCAGACTATATCCTATATATATGCCAAATTTCGTCAAGATCCGTTCAGCCGTTCTGGAGATATTTTCAAACAAACATCCATCCATCCATTTAAACATTCGCATTTATAATATTAGTAGATTACCAAACTACTTACTAAATATTTCTTGTAACCAAACAATGATAGCTGTATCTAACTTTCATTACGAAACATGTTCCAAAACCTACACAATTTCAAACTCCGTATTTAAACTTGTAACCAACAAGATATCCAATTCATTTTCAGCTAAAACGTCGTGTTAGCTAAATAAGGTTAATAAATAAGCCGAGACCTGACAGAGATCGTATCACCAAGTCTGCGGACGAGGCTTCGACACGATAGATAACGTCACTGCTGCCACTTCATGTTACTTCGCTAAGGGCCTTTGTTAAGTTATATCACTTATCAACCTTATTAATGTTCATAACTTCACTAGTTGCCGCCCACGATTCCGTCCGCGATGAAAAAAAAAACTTAATTAGTTGCCTAGTTCAGTGGGATCCGTTGAGACGTTCTGGAGATACCTTCAAATAAACATTCATCCATCTAAACATTCGCATTTATAACATTAGTATGATTACATAGGTGTTAGCTAGGAGGCTTTGTAATAACTAGGAGCAGTTATCATCATCATTTGAGGCGTAGCCAAGGGTGGACACCGGCCTGGTCAAGTAAATTTCTCCACGCCGGTGTACTTTCTTCTTTTTGCGTCTAGCTCTTAATAACATCCAGAAATGTTTGACTTGGAGCTCGACGTCATATAGCCATCTTAGCTGGGTATGAGGTGTACTTCTAAGAAATCTTACTAATATTATAACTGCAATTGTTCGGATGGATGGATGGATGTTATTAGATATCTCCAGAACCTCTTCATGTCTCGCTGGCATAAACATAGAAATTAGTCTAGTCATAGTCACATGGACACTAATCAAGTTATTTTTTTAATTCCGCGGCTACTAATTTAATTTATTATACATTTGGTTTAAATAAATGAAAACGAAAACCCAGCGAATGCTACCTACATATATGTGACGCACGTCATATATAAAAATTCCCTTGTGATAAAATAAATTAAAAACACGTAGAATTCACCTCTTCAGTCGTGTTGTCTAACCTAACCTAACGCAAATGAGACTTTTAATTAATTAGATAATTTGGAGTAATTAGGGTAATTACATTGTAAAATATTCAAGTCCATAAGCGCTACATGTTATGTAAAAAATATTTCGTGTCTAATACATACAGAGATATAAATAAACAGTTTTACATAGTTACTATTAATCTTACTTTTACTAATATAATAAATGCAAATATTTGGATGTATGTTTGTTTGAAAGTATCAACAGAACATCTGCGAGGATATCGCTGAAATTTGGCATAGACGTTGAACATCTGAAAGAACACATAGGCTAATAATTGTCATTGATTATTCGCAGGCAGAGTCTCGGGCGACAGCCTAGTAGTATAATATTGGAATTAAAATAACGGTCAACTATATATGGTTAGTATTTATAGATTATACATGGTATGGAATGATAATTCTTCCATTTGATTGTAGGTCGACGTCCGGTAACGCGATGAATGTTTAATGAAATAACAGTAATTGTTTTAAGCCTACACAATATATCATAAAGTATTTATTAATTGTATTAGAAAAAAAAAACAATTTTGTTACTACTGAATAGATTAAATTGTTGACAAATGATTTTCATAACAAAAAGAACTGTTCAATTTGATGTAAAGATTTTCTTGTGTTAATCAAACTGATTTGATGTCAGTTTTCATCACAAATATTATCACTCTTTCCCTTCATAATTATTACAGTCATATCACGTTTGTCAAGTTTAGTTAGCAATGAATCAGTTTTTGAATGTTTCCATGACTCATGTCAAACTATCGTTATTTTCTGACAGCACTCAAAATAAGCAAGCGCTGGAACGATGTCGTGTTGTCAAATATGTCAGTCATAGTTCCTACCAGCGAGCCAGTCCGCCGCCGGTACATCGTTCCTATCGTGTTTATAATATTTAACGTAAACCTAATTGTACAGTCGACATATCTGTAAACATCAGTGATGTTTCTATTATGCTAACATCTCTATCGATATGTTTATACATCTCATTTAAATCTCCATATACCGAGAATTCAAACATTCATCTCTATTCCTATATCATTCAAGACGAGGACATTTCCTACCCTATTTAAGTACTTTTAGACATTACATTTCGCCAGTACACCGGCACAGTGTCGGATTTTCTTCCTAACAGTACTACAGTACATTTGGTAGTTCTTATGGTAGAAATTTGCTATGCGATATTCATCGTAAGTCGTTCTTTAATAGAATTCAAAGTAACTAAGCACTGACCGTCCGTGGGCGAGGTGTACAACTTCTTGCAGAGCTCCTGCGGCCCGCCGAGCGCGTTGATTTTGGCCAGGCCCTCGGCGCCGCGCGACTCCATCAGCTCGCGCAGCTGGCGCAGGCTGACGCCATACTGCGCCGGCCGGCCTTCCACCGTCGCCATGGCGTCGGGCTCGCGGCCGCCCGCACCACGCCCGACCTCCCTCTAGATCTGAAACAAGGATACATTGCACATTATTACACTGCGAAACACCGCTGTTTAAAGTGTTGGCATTACCGAGGAAGACTTTTAGTGGACGTGATACTTTTTCTTTCAAACAGAGAAGTTATCCAGTCCCCAACTATGTTGAAAATAATTCCAGAATAGTAGATTCAATTTTGCTAAAAATATAACAGCACCAAGACAAATATACTTTGCATGTTTTAAAACACTCAAGCTAGAAATAGTAAAGTTGCTAAGTGCACTATGCTGTAGTGACGTCACATAATTAAGTAACTTCGAACACCTCCATGAAAGGTGTGAAAATTGGATCTTCCCACGCGACGCTAACGTCATTCGAAACGTTCAAAGGCTACATCTCAGCTATCCTTTCCATCTAAAAATAAATACGCCTACATACGCGAATGCAACGAATCTAATAAAGATGACATTTGACGTTATTAACACGATTGTAATAAATAAAAAAAAACTCTTAAAAGCGAATAAACACCTAAATTACAGCATCATTCAACGTCATCGTGTTAACACATTCAGTGCCACCAATTCGCTTGACAAATTCACTTTTATAAGGTGGAATACTAGTAGCAGGTAATGTGTTAAGGGAGTTGGTATACGATACAAAAATATACAATTTAATAAACATAAAGTAACAAACAAACGAGACAATAAGAAGCGAATATAAATGCTGCTATATTAGACTTTAGGGCTCATCTGGGTGGAGGGAAGGGGGTCGTTGGGGCTAGGGGATGAGGGAGAAGAGGGTACACCTGCGAAGGATGTAAGTGGTGTTTATGAGGCCATAAAGTCATTTCTCGCTCCACTGCACTGTCATGCATAATTTAGAAGGCGACTGAGGGTTAATAAAACGAGTAATTTCATGAGCTTGTTTATATTATGAACTGATGTACTTTTAATGCTAACTGAAGAGTATTGTTTAACGGAATGACGTCATAAGGAAATGTTCCGTTTCCTTATTACATTATTGAGTCCTTTATGAAGCATTTGATCTTTTTATGTTTATGTTTCTATAATTAAATTGTCTGAATTACGAAGTTTTAATACATTTTAATCCTATTATTTAATTGTAAAAAAATTAATAGATTCATAAATCTTACTAATATTGTAAATGCGAATGTTTGGATGGATTCATGGATGTTTGTATGAAGGTATCTCCAGAACGGCTGCATGGATCTCGCTGAAATTTGGCATAGATGTAGAACATAGTCTGGAAGAACACGTAGGCTACCAATTCAGTTTTTTTTTTCGTTCCAAGCGTTCGGAGTAAACGTCAATAAAGTTTTATAAAAGAATTTAAGTGGATATAAATTTGATACCACCTACTCAAATGTTACCTTTACCACGTAAGATATCGCCATGTCCTTTTTGGAACATGATTTACCAAACAAAGAATATCACTGTGTCTCTTATACGATCATACCATATTTGGCATCGAAACGTTTAATATAGTCAACCAAATAAAATAAAAACAATATTTTCATTTACTTCAATCCATTCATTTCATTCATTTGAAGTTACAAAAATGTTAATTACAATACTTATCGCGTTAGTAACACGTTTCACAGAATTTCGAATACGTCACAAGGAAATATCGAAGTTCAAAAGTAGGTCGAGACTGTTAGCACAACAATCGAAGAAAACGCGTTTATCGTTCAACGGCTACACAGGGTGTTTTAAAAGGTTTATCTACGTCACCGGGTGACTGTACAGGATGTACGGAAATGTTTAAGTAGCGTATACAGCGAACACAACAGAGCGAGCGAGGCCTTTTATGAAGAAAGTGAGAATATGTCGAGCGGAAATTGCGCTGGAAAAGCGCGGAGGCGTGCTCTTGAAGTAATTAATTAAACAAAACAACACATTCATGATACAGATTAAAATTTCGTGATACAACAAAAATACCTTGTAAATTAATGAATAAACCAAAAAAAGAGCATCCAAGAAGTTAGGACAATAGGATTTTTTGAGATTTCTTTGCCATATCTAGTAGTATCATAATATCTATGGTAACATCAGTAGTACACATATTTATCGAGTTATTTAGTACAGTTTTAAAGAGGTGACTGCAAACTGCAGTCCGTGTACAGCGACCGTTACCTACTCATCGCACAACGGCAACTGCTTAAAGAGGTACGGGTACAGTGGCCTTATTACATTACTTTTTATGAACTTTTGTAAGCTATCATACAAGTAGCTATAATTAGGTTTATATCTACTTTGTCTCAACCACTAAGTGTAAACCAAGTTGTTTACGTAAGATTTTATCCGAAAATACACAAAGCCGATAAAGCACAACAGAGATCTTGAGTAAGTGTTTGTTATTAGCCCTAACCTAAGTGCCACAGGGGTTACTCGAGTGTGGGTGCCACCCACAGGGTGGCTTGGCATCCGGGTTGAGTGCCATTGAACGGCCAGCAATTAGGTCGAGCGAGTGCCCATCTTTGTTGGGTTCTGTACGCCCCATATCTGATGGAATCTTAGACTTTTAACCAATTTATACCAGAGTCTATATCTTCAAAGTTAATTTAATTATAAATGAACTAGTGTTAAAATTAATTGAATGTTTCTATTAACATTTATTCAAAATTCCAATTCAAACAAATCAATTTTTTGTTCCAGTTCGATAAAAAATTATTTGGTAAGAAAGACAAATGGAGAATTAAAAATGGTTAAAAATAACAAAATATCGTGGATAATAGAAAACATTCACGATACGAAAGCGACTGTAGTGACTTACAAACAGAGAAAGTTGAACGGTATCGTGCTTAGGACCTGAATAGACAAAGCTAGGACCTGAGTAGGCAAACCTAACGGATAAATTAGTGACAATGTAGGAATTTTTGATACACAATTACTTAAACAACAACAAGCCAATACAATGTTATATATATAATATTTTTTTGGTATTTTGGTTCATATACCTTACTATGTATGAGACATTGTTCTAAGACAAATAGAAGTTAAAAAAATGTCCGATCGTATATTAAATATGTCAATCATTTAACTAGAACAAAGCCTGATACAAAATTTTGATTAAATATATTCGTAATAGGCCGCTGTGAAGGGTATTAGTCAACGTCAAGTCGAATTGCACGAGCAATAAATTCAAGATTAAAAATTAGCAAGGCGAGGACGAAACATTTCATTCAAGAGAATGGAATAAGGAATATGCAAGGATTAAGGAATAATATAGTTACAAAATAAAATATTTAAAAAAAAACGAATAATTCACTAAAATATGTTATTAAAAGGAGTCCCCTTAAGGCAAGGTCCCGAAGATACTGGAAGCGTTCCCCCTCTGGACAGCTAAACTAATTCTTACAAATAATTCTAATTTGTTACAAAAACGAATAGACAATATCAGGGATTAACATCGGTGGCTCAAGGGCTAAGCAACAACAAGTCAGGTGACTTGTAATCTGCAGATCCTGGGTTCGAATACCACCATGTATCAATGTGTTTTTCGATCTACATATGTACATTTATCCGAAGTTCTTACGGTGAAGGAAAACATCGTGACGCAACCTGCACATATCTGAGAAGAAATTCAAAGATATGTGTGAAGTCAACCCGGACTGGGCCAGCGTGGTTGACTATGGCCTAGTCACCTAATTTACTATAGGCTCTTAGCCCCTTTGTTGGGATGTATAGTGAGCTGATAATGACATGATATAATATAATAATTTTAGAAGAAATTAAACTTATAATTAACTCATATAAAGACATTTTCATACTTAAATAAGGTAATACCTAATTTTTTAAAAATGGAATTAAAGAAGGCTAAGAATTCATACGTAAAAGCTTCGTAACATTGGATTCTTACTCAGGAATTTACGTTTGGTTGTTTGTACGAAAAAAGATATGGATAACAGATACAAATGATTTACGCATACTTTAACAGCGTGGGCGTGGGCGTGGGCACTTTATTTAATAGGAATATAATGAAAATATACGCAATAGTCTATGAAAAATAAAAAGATGAATACTTTAAATCAATGAATTATTCCGTGATAATTTATCAAATATACAAAAAGTTAAAGATAACAATGTAAACCAGCCCTATACTATTACGCCATATTCAAATGATAAAATTAGGCGGGAATAAAAACACATCGATCTTTGTCCACCTTACTAATATTATAAATGCGAATATTTAGATGGATGGATGTGTGAAGGTATCTCCAGAACGGCTGAACGGATCTCGATAAAATCTAATTGTTATTTTTTTTCCACGCGGACGGTGTCGCGAGCGTCATCTAGTATATTATAAAAATACAGAAGTTTATACAGAAGGTCAAAACTAGAATTCGGAATTATTCGTTCAATAAATCTTAAGTACATATACGTCCGCATCGCGTGCCTTCAGCGGTTCAATCTCGCCACACCTTGCTTTCAGTTACACTAAAAAGGTTATTTTCCAATTAATAAACACCCTTTGCATGAAACAGTACTTTTAAAATATAATCCCTCGAGTAGTTATCAATAAAAAGGTCATACCATCATTCTTGTAAAAATAAACGTAAAATAACTTTGACACAAAAAAAGACGCAACAGTATATTCCGGAAGAGCATTTCTTCACCCCCCTTACAATCTTCATTTAGTTAAGTTGGCATCACTCGAGTTCATTTAGGGCAACCATACACGGACTACTTTCAAGCAGTAGCAGAAATTGCAAACTGTAGACCGTGAACTGCGCGATAAGCGATTTCCCAACACGGAACTAAAGCTACCCATTGCTTGGAAGAGTCGGTGTATGGCATACCTTACTTGTCTATAGATGAAAGCCAACATTCAAGCCGAGTGAAGTTGTTCTCGCTGCCTTCGTTTTAATGAAACATTTAAATAGACTCTTGACGTTCTGTGTTAATTAGGAAAACAAATAATGCGATAAGGAAATAAGCAATGTTCATTTTAATTGGGAAAAGCAGCTCGTTCGTGTTGCTATGTCAGTATTTATAACATTAAGAAGAAG